ACTTTGCAGCCGGAGCGGCGGGAGGGGTGGGAAGGGCTGTGCCGGCCCCGCGCCGCATCCCATGCCGTGCTGCGCTGTGCCGCGCCGCGCTGTGCCGTGCCATGCCGGGGTGCACCACACCGGTCTGCACCGCCCCGGGCCGTGCCATGCCGTATTGCACTGTGCCGTGCTGGGGCGCACGGCACCAGTCTGCGCCATCCCGGCCCGTGCCATGCCGTGCCGTGCCAGGCTGTATGGCACTGTCCCAAGTCCTGCTGTGGTGCACTGCCTTGTGTCATCCTGGTCCAGTCCGGTGCCGCTCTGGTGAGTCCTGTTCTGGTCCAGTGCCCTCCCGGTCATATCCATGCCGGTGTTGGTGCCAGTGCCAGTCCGTCCCAGTCTGTTCTGTGCTGGTGCTGCTGTTGGTGTCAGTCCGTCCCGGTCCATTCTGTGCCAGTGTTGGTGCTGGTGCCGGTCCATCCCGGTCTGTTCTGTGCCGGTGTTGGCGCTGGTGCCGGTGCGGGTCTGTCCTGGTCCATTCTGTGCCGGTGCGGGTGGCATTCTGCTCCAGTCGGTGCTCATCGGGTCCATCACAGTCCAGTCCAGTCTGGTCCATCCTGGTTGGTGCCAGTTGGGCCTGTCCCACCCCAGTCCAGTCCAGTGGGTCTGTTCTGGTCGGGTCCAATCGGGTCCATTATGATCCGGTGTGGTTTGATGCAGTCAGTGCTAGTCAGGTCCATTCCGGTTTGTTCCGGTCAGCCATGGTGGTGTTGGTGCCGGTGCGGGTCTGTCCTGGTCCATTCTGTGCTGGTGTTGGTGCTGGTGCCGGTCTGTCCTGGTCCGTTCCGTGCTGGTGTTGGTGCCGGTGTGGGTCTGTCCTGGTCCATTCTGTGCCGGTGCGGGTGGCATTCTGCTCCAGTCGGTGCTCATCGGGTCCATCACAGTCCAGTCCAGTCTGGTCCATCCTGGTTGGTGCCAGTTGGGCCTGTCCCACCCCAGTCCAGTCCAGTGGGTCTGTTCTGGTCGGGTCCAATCGGGTCCATTATGATCCGGTGTGGTTTGATGCAGTCAGTGCTAGTCAGGTCCATTCCGGTTTGTTCCGGTCAGGTCGGGTCGGGTCTGTCCCAGTCTGGTCCGGTCCAGTCCAGTCAGTGCCAGTCGGGTCTGCTCCAGTCGGGTCTGATCCAGTCCGTCCTGGTCAGGTTCAGTCCGGTCTGGTCCAGTCAGTGCCGGTCAGGTCCATCCCACTCACATCTGGTCCAGCCCAGTCCAGTTGGTGCTGGTCCAGTCCAGTCGGGTCTAGTCCGGTCAGGTCCGGTCCAGTCCAGTCAGTGCCAGTCGGGTCTGCTCCAGTCAGGTCTGATCCAGACCGTCCCAGTCAGGTCCAGTCCGGTCTGGTCCAGCCAGTGCCAGTCAGGTCCATCCCACTCACGTCCAGTCCGGTCCAGTCCAGTTGGTGCTGGTCCAGTCCATTCGGGTCTGGTCCGGTCTGTCCCGGTCAGGTCTGGTCAGACCGGTCCGGTCAGGTCCGGTCCAGTCCAGTCAGTGCCAGTCGGGTCTGCTCCAGTCAGGTCTGATCCAGACCGTCCCAGTCAGGTCCAGTCCGGTCTGGTCCAGCCAGTGCCGGTCAGGTCCATCCCACTCACGTCCAGTCCGGTCCAGTCCAGTTGGTGCTGGTCCAGTCCATTCGGGTCTGGTCCGGTCTGTCCCGGTCAGGTCTGGTCAGACCGGGTCCGATCCATCCCAGTCGGGTCTGGTCCAGTCCAGTTAGTGTCGGTCAGGTCCATCCTGCTTAGGTTTGGTCTGGTCCGGTCCAGTCCATGCTGCTCCGGTCCAGTCGGGTCCGCTCCGGTCGGGTCCAATCCAGTCGATCCCGGTCGGGTCCGGTCCAGTCAGTGCTGGTCCAGTCTAGTTGGGTCTTGTCTGGTCCAGTCCAGTCAGGTCGGGTCTGGTCTGTCCCAGCCCGGTCTAGTCTGGTCCAGTCCAGTCAGTGCTGGTCCAGTCCAGTCTGGTCCGGTCCGGTCCAGTCCAGTTGGGTCGGGTCTGGTCTGTCCCAGCCTGGTCTAGTCTGGTCCAGTCCAGTCGGTACTGGTCCAATCCACCTGGTGCTGGTCCGATCCGGTCCAGTCGGGTCGGGTCTGGTCTGTCCCGGCCCGGTCCAGTCCGGTCTAGTCGGGTCCAGTCCAGTCCATCCCGTTCGGGTCTGGTCTGGTCGGGTCACAGAATCACAGAATGGCTGAGGTTGGAAGGGACCTCTGGAGATCAGCTAGTCCAACCTCCCTGCTCAAGCAGGGTCCCCTAGAGCACATTGCCCAGGATCGCGTCCAGGCGGGTTTTGAAGATCTCCAGCAAAGGAGACTCCACTACCTCTCTGGGCAACCTGTGCCAGGGCTCTGTCACCCTCACAG